GCCTTTTAAAAGCAGAGTGTTTCTTCCAGCTGGCAGAATACAACATCACAGAGATTTGGAGCACAGAAGGATTTGGTGCTGCTGGCTCAAGGGTGAAGGGGCTCTTGTGAGAGCGAATGCAGGCAGTGTCTAGAAGCTGAGAGCTACCCCCAGATGCTGACCAACAAGGAAATGGGGTCTACAGTCCTACAACCTCAAGGAAGTAAATTCAGGCAATGATCTGAATGAGCTTGGACATGGACTCTTCTCTGGAACCTCCAGATAAGAGTCTATCACAGCCAATGCCTTGTTTTCATTTTTGTGAGACCTTGAGCAGAGAATCCAATGGAGTCTACTCAAATTTATGACCTACACAACTGTGAGCTAATAAATGGGTGTTTGAAGCTGTTAAGCTTTTGGGAATTTGTTTCACAGTAATAGAAAACTAATATACACTGGAATTACTAGCTGTAAGAACAGTGTGTCCCTAGAGAGGGTTGGTCAACCCAAAGGTAAGGTCAATACAGGAAAGCAGAGTCAAAATGGAAAGAGACGGCATCTACATGACGAGTCGTTCATCCCTGGAACTAGCCATTTGTGAAGCCTATCCTGATCCTAAAGTTTCAGGCATTTGAATCAATAAAATCCTGTTATTTATGAAAGCCAGCTTGAATTGGCTTTCAGTCACAAGGAAAAAAACCCAGATACTGGAAAAAGAAATTATCAGTCAATTCTGATCTAAGGCCCAACCCTACAGACTGGGTTTGCATTTCAATAGAAAAAGACAGCTGCCTATTCCTACAGAAAGAAATACCATTCAGCCAACTCAGGAGTATCAAGGGCCTGAATAAGCCTCTTGCTAGACCATTTTCTCAAAATTAAAACAATTTTGAGGGAGAACACATCTCAAACAAAACAGTAAGTACCATCTGGAGGTCTGATATGGCTTGACACCAAAACGTTATCTATATGCTAAACTATGGATGGTAATCAAAAGACAATCAAATCCTTCACACGGAGACCCACATGTAGACATGTGCACATACACTCAAAAAGGGGCACAATTTGCCTCATTCCAGCCGTCATGGGAACCTATGACTAAATTCTACAAGGGCTGGGAAAATGAAGAAAAACAAAAAAAGGTGGAATCAGTGAGTGTTAAAACTGAAAGCAGTCCTAGAGTTAACCCAATTCAAAACCTGCCTCAATTTCACAAATGAAAAACTACAAGAAGTTGATGGGATGCTTTATGATATGCAGTCTGGGAGTTGGAAAAAGTAGGAGGAGGACCCAATATGGCATGTTTTCTCAGGGAAGGGGAGAGCCATTCATTTTCTTCATACATCTCTTATTTTACTTAAATGAAACTGAAGCCAGGAATGGGATCTACTAGGATGTGGAGAGGGAAAACAATGTTTTTTCTCATTTTATCCTTCAAGCAACTTTTTGAACTATTGACTGCTTATTGATTATATGGACACGGGGAAATGACTAAAACCAAGGATCAAGGTGGATTAGACATTGACGATCTCAAGTCTAGAATATTTTCCAATCAGGATCTATGACACCCCAACAAATAATATCTTCTGATGTTTTACAGAGGCGGATATTTTCCAACCAGGATCCAGGGGACCCCAACAAGTAAAATCTCCTGATGTCTTATAGAGGCAGACTGTGAAAGTTCAGCTCAATGCCAGAATGGACACTTAATCAGGTTTTCAGAAACCAACTCCTATAGTATACTCCCAGAGACACCAAAACTCATGGAAGGGAGAGGCAAGTCCTATCAAGAGACCCAAGGTCAAAAACTAGGAGCTTGAGACTGGCAGAAGAAAAGTGAGGCTGGCAGGAATCAGATCTATACTCACACCCAGTAGAAATAAGAAATGAGTTTTTCAGTTCACTGGGAAAGTACTGGGAACACACCCAGAGACAGATGTTCATAGGTAGCTATGTCACATCATGTATCACCTTACTACATAGAGGAGAGCTCGGGTCAAGCACCAGCTCTGGAATCAAATATAGTTGAGCCCCATCTATCTGTGACAGAACAAGTGGAATTAAGAAGTTTAAAAAGTAGATGTGAAATACGAGATGTGAAATTTGGAGAAAATATAAAGCACATATGTGACATCTTAAAATTGCTATAATCGACAATTACAACACTAGGGTCCATAGAAACATCTGGAAAGTATTTGTGGACCATGCTTCTTACAATGCTCAAGAAACCGTATTTTTACTTTAGACTTGCAAGTTGGAATGGAAGGAAGAGAGCAGATATGGAACTAGTGGGTTCTTTTTAAAGAACTAGAAGGCTGTGTGTCGGAGGCTGTGGTATATAAATAAAAGGGACAGGGGCTTCCCTGGTGGCGCAGGGGTTAAGAATCCGCCTGCCAATGAAGGGGACAAGGGTCCGAGCCCTGGTCTGGGAGGATCCCACATGCTGCAGAGCAATTAAGCCCGTGGGCCACAACTACTGAGCCCATGCGCCGCAACTGCTGAGCCCACGTGCCTGGAGCTCGTGCTCCGCAACAAGAGAAGCCACCGCAACAAGAGAAGCCCACACACCGCAACAGAGTAGCGCCCCACCCCCACCCCATCGCAACTAGAGAAAGCCCGCACGCAGCAACGAAGACCTAACGCAGCCAAAAATAAATAAATAAAAAATGTTTAAATAAATAAATAAAAGGGGCAAAGAGAAATGAAGATAGGTAACATAACAAAAAATTCTACCTTACATACCCACTTGGAGATGGAAGGAATACTCCTATAAAAAATCAGCTGTACAGAGACTGAAAGAGAGTTCATTTTTAAAAAGTACAATTAGTAGCAACTGATCATGAGTCAAAAACTAGAAACAACCATACAATGGGTTACAGCAAGGAGAGTGAAAGCTAAAACTATGTGCCAAACACGTATGAATCTCATAAACATAATACTGAGTAAATGAAACCAGACACAAAAGAGTACATACAGCCCATTTATAAAAAATTCAAAAAGAGACAAAACAAATCTACTTAAGTCCAAAGAACAGTTATCCTTATAGGGGAAGAGTGACTGGAAGGAATTAAATAAGGGTGCCTGGATGCTAATAATGTTCTGTTTCTTGATGCTGGTTACACACTTTGTGAGAATTCATCCAGCCATACACTTATGATACGTGCACTTTTCTATATGTATTTTCTATCTGCATTAAAAATATTAAGGTAGTATTTCCCACCTTTGTTCCATAAGAGTCTGTTGCCTAAAGCAATGTTATTATGGGGTTATTCCATGAAAGAGTTTGGTGTTCTCCTAAGTTTGCGAAATGCTAGGCAAGACAGAGTTTAATATGTTCCCACTCTATACGACATCTCCATCAATGAGTCTGAATGAGTCAACCCTCCCTCCATGGCCTCGGACCGTGAGCTGTCCCTGTTCAAGCTTTCCTAAGGTTTCCTCCAGCCCCCAAATCTTAGCCACAACGTGATCTGCACATCCGCTTTATCCCGATTGGAACAATTCCACTTGAGCACATACTGTTATCAACCAGTCTGGATGAGCATCACCAGTTTTTCATGGAAGAGCGCATACTTACAATATGGTGCTGACTGCTCTTTCAGAGACCTGTCTCCAATCAGCACTCCTGCACCCGTGTAATCCCTGAGCAGTGAACTAGCACATTTCATGTAATTTGCAAGTACAATAGCATGAAGGAATACAGAAAAGCAGATTTTCAAAGACAGCATTATGCAACTGTAATTTGAGAATGCTCAAGTCATCTTCACATTCTCATGGGGTTGCAGCTCACAAATCAGAGTTTCTCCCAAATACTTGAAACCTACCACAACTTGACTCTTACAATCACCTCATTTTTCTAGTCACTTATGTCAAAACAAGTCAGTGCTTCTTTAACAACCAGGATTTTGCTTATTCCCAGTGGGGCAAACAGCTGTGCTCACTGATTCAGGCTCTTGCTTTTTTCTTTCAAACCTTTTTTCACTCTTTTTACCACAGGCAAGACTGTGGAATCTGAAGGCTGTCTCCAATGCACAAAGGAATAACAAGCAGGGCTCTGTGTTGTTATCTTTAGGACATTTTCCACAACTTCAGTAACTTATTTAACTGGGTTTAATTAGGCACCTGGTTTACCTTTGGCTACTCATTTATGCCAAGTTCTACAGTAAAAAAGAAAAAGGAAAATCACCTAAGTTCAATTAGCTGTCATATTTTTGGAGGCGGAGGAGAGATGGCATCAAATGACGAACAATTTGCCTGAAGCCCATCATTTCTCTTCCTGGCATCTGAACGTCAAGTCTTTTCATTCTTTTTGCCATGATCTTATTAGTCAGACATACCACCCACTGCTCCTTAATTATACAATGAGGGCAAGAGAAATTAAGAGTATTCCAAACCAATGTCTTAAGCTAAGGCATTCATGACAACAGGGATCCTAATTACATTATATTGATTTCCAATGGGAGAATTAAATTATATATTTCAAATAAAATCTAGAACAAGCTTATTAACGTTGTGATGTCCAGTTCAGTGGGAAACCATTTGCATTGGAAAATGTGGCTTCAATGTCTCAAAGCATACTAGAGGACCATTTTGCAAATACCAAACTATATCACACGCCATGGAAAAATGGTAAGCATGATCATATTTGAGACTGCAAAGGGCATTAGAAAAAGCAGGGGTTGGGAAGATAAAATAAAACTAAGAGAAAATTTTACAAATGTAACTGTCACAGCCATGGTTATATAATCCTGAAGCAAAGTTGAAAGAAGCGTAATGAAATGACTGCTGGACTTGGTTTAGTTCCAAAACATACTGTGCAGTCTTGCAAATTATATTTTAAATGTATTTGCTCCAGAGCAAGGAGAAACACGTTTCCAAAGAAGTGCAAGGAAAACACATTTACTTAAGAGCAAAAACATTTAAAGTTTTAAGCAGAATAAATTCCTAGTACTAGGAAAAAGAATAATAAATTTCACGATTGGCTAATTCATGTTCATACAACCAGCAATGACTGCACCTACCTCATTGAGGTCCTGCCGAGTTTCATCCTTTGGCCACACGGCCGCCCTCTGGTCTATTCTATAAAACACAAAGAAAAAGTATTTCCATTTAAAAGGAACCTTTCAACAATGTACATGTGAAGTTGGCAGCTACAGATCTGACCACACCCCTATTAAAACCCCTCAGTGGTGTCCCACTGCCCGAAAAACAAAATCCAGACTCCTTATAACGGTCTGCAACACATTACAGTGTCTGAACTCTGCCAGTCTTCCTGTCCCACCTCCTATCACTCTCACCCTTGTCCTCTACCCCCCAGCCTCTCGGGCCTTCAGTTTCTTGAACACACAGTGCTGGCTCCCTGTTCAAATCTTCACACTTGCTTTTCCCCCCGATTTTCACAAAGCTGACTCTGCCCAGCACGGAGCATCAGCTCAGCTCCTATGTCACCTCCCAATGAGTCCTTCCGGATCTCTCTAATCAAACTATCCCTTCCCTTCACTCTCTATTGCACTGTCTTTAGATTTTCTTCTTAGCGCTGTCACTACCTAAAGTTATGATGTTTATTTGCATTTCCATGCTAAAATGTAAGCTCCAAGAAATCAGTGATTCTGTCCATTTTCTACACTGCTGAATCCTCAGTACCCAGTGCAAAGTCAGTATTTTTATGACCAAATGTGATCTGATACAGTTGTTACAGAAAGATACCATTTGTGCACTGAAGATAGCTTTTGGAAATTTCATTCTATCACTTACCTAACAAAATAAAAGTTACAGCAATTTCTGGGTAACACGGTAAAGCTAGGTTTTGCCATTTCATAGCTTCCAACAGAAGAAAAAGGACTTAAGGCAAATCTACTCTGAATAAAATTTTTTAGGTTAAAAACAGAAAACCAAAACTCCACTACTGGCAGATGCTCAGCTCCAAATCATGACTCATCAAATCCTATGGTCCAATGGCATCTACCACATAACATTCAAGTTTTTCTGCAGCAGTTTGCATGCTATTATATAATAAATATATTAAGTTATAATTATTCTTTGTAAAAGGCCTGCTATCTTAAGGAATAAAAGCTTTAGTCAGTATTAAGTCATTTATAAAAAGATTTATTTGGGGATATAATTATTTACAGTTATTATTCTGCTTTGGTTTGAGTCCTGAAAAAAGTATATATGTCCTCTGAATGGTCATCAAGATGAATGATTTCTGAAAGTAATGATGCGCATTTAGAAATGCCATGAGCCTACCTTCTTCAAAGTATTCTTAAGAATGAAAAGTTCTTTCAGTCCATGAGTACTGCTAACTGTGCAAACAACTTACTTCTAATGAGAAACTGAGGAGATGTTAAAACAGAATTGGACGGTCACACTGATGTTGACCACGTCTGCACAAACGTCCCTCCTGGTGTGAGAGAAGATTAAGGGTCCCAACCACGAGCCCAGGGAGAGATGGCCCAAGTGAGAAAGTTGGTTAGGGGAAGAAAGCACTGGCACACCCATCCTCTGCCCATGAGTTCGCTGGGCCACAAACAGTGACTCCAGGGCTTCAGAAAATACCAAGTAGCTCTTTCCTGCAAAATGGGAGAAACCCTCTCGCGGAGAGGGGGTTAACCTGACCTATCCAGTAATATCTAAAGTTCTGAATGGCTCATAATTTCCCTGTAACCTAAAGTGGTTCTCAAATCGTGTTTTTATAGAGTTATAGTAGCACCAGAAAAATGAAAGAATCGTGTTCTCTAATGGAAAGAATATTTACCAGTTTACAGTTTTCAACCGTAAATTTCTCCAGGGCTCTGATGTCAGCAAATGGTAAAACAAATAGATGGTAGCAAACATTAATGGAAGAGAGCAGAAATAAGACTTTGTTTAAAATATATAGTATATATTATTGAGATGCAGAGAACAGCTACATGTAATACACTCACATGATCTTCAATGAAAACTACTTGTCATCTCCAGATAAACCTCCAGATCAAGTTTAAGAAGTGCTCGGTGCTTTGTGACCCCCTAGAGGGGTGGGATAGGGAGGGTGGGCGGGAGATGCAAGACGGAGGAGATATGGGAACACATGTAGATGTATAACTGATTCACTTTGTTATAAAGCAGAAACTAACACACCATTGTAAAGCAATTATACTCCAATAAAGATGTAAAAAAAAAAAAAAGAACTGTGGTCTAAGCATCAAAGATGCTTTAATTTAATAGCCATCTGAATGTCTCCTATGTGACTGCTACAGTGTTGGGGAAATAAGAATCAATGAACAGACTCTAGGCCTTTAAGAAACTTACAGTCTAGTGGATCCTGAAGCAGAGAATAAAACTAATTAAAACCCAGCCTTGAGGTTCTTTCCATAAATCAAGGACTGAGCACACAGGAGCTGATATGAGAATGGTGGAGAGGGACTGGGGAAACAGAGACAGATGAAGGAGACATTTTCAAGGAGAAAAACAACAAGAGGTGTTGGGTGTGAATTGAAAGTATGGAATGAAAGAGATGGTGTAATGAAAAGTAGTCCAAAGTTTTGCGCCTGTGTGACAAGAAAGATGACAGATGATGGTTTTTCCAGTGGAGAAAGAAAAATAGGTCATTTGGGAGGGGAGGGCAGGCAGCTGGCATGAGTTTTGATTTAGACATTTGAAGCTTGAACTGAGGATTAAAATAGGGAAGTGAAAACACCGGACTCACGGTAGCATGGGGCACTCGACGGTGTGTTCCAGAGAGTGAGGGCACAGATAACAACAGTGACTCACAGTGGTCACAGGTTCTCCATCAGTTTTTCACTTGCTGTGTGGCCAGAGCCTAGCACACTGCTTGGCACATGTCATATGCTCTCTACATGCCTTTCGGATGGATGAAAAGATGAAGACACAGAAGGACCCAGACCCAAGAATGACTTCTTGATCTACCACTTACTAGGTGTGTGTACCCACTGGCAAGATATTATCCTCTCTCAGCCTGTTTCCTCATCTGTCAAGTGAAGATAATATCAGCTACTGCACAGGATAATTCAGGATGTGAAGGACAGTTCATGAAAAATGTTTATGACTACTGTTGGCTGTATTAAAAATAACACATGGGGCTTCCCTGGTGGCGCAGTGGTTGAGAATCTGCCTGCCAATGCAGGGGACATGGGTTCGAGTCCTGGTCTGGGAAGATCCCACATGCCACGGAGCAACTGGGCCCGTGAGCCACAATTATTGAGCCTGCGCGTCTGGAGCCTGTGCTCCGCAACAAGAGAGACCGCGATAGTGAGAGGCCCGCGCACCGCGATGAAGAGTGGCCCCCACTTGCCACAACTAGAGAAAGCCCTCGCACAGAAACGGAGACCCAACACAGCCATAAATAAATAAAATTTAAAAAAAAACAAAAAACAAATAACACATGGATTCTATAATCAAATGTACAAAATACCATAATAGAATTATAAATGATAATTAATGGTATATTTAAGTATAATAATTGAAGCCTTGTGAACAAGCAGGAAGAGATAAAAAGCTGAGTCATCCTTACTCAGGACCACTGGGCAGGTTTCTGAAATTGGCCAATTCAGGGACAGAAGAAAAAAGGGCCGTGAAGAAAATACAGATGCATCACTAAGGAGATAAGAAGGCAACCAGAACAGCACTTTGAATAGTGAAGAGAAAGATGTTATAAGAAAAAAGAGTGTCAAGAAGAGCCTAACAGAAATATACTCAGCCATTAAAAAGAATGAAATAATGCCGTTTGCAGCATCATGGATGGACCTAGAGATTATCATACTAAGTGGAGTAAGCCAAGATAAAGACAAATATCATATGATATCACTTATATGTGGAATCTAAAATTTGACACAAATGAACTTATCTACGAAACAGAAACAGACTCACAGACATAGAGAACAGACTTGTGGTTGCCAAAGGGAGAGGTGTTGGGGGAGGGAAGGGTTGGGAGTTTGGGATTAGCAGATGCAAACTATTATATATAAGATGGATAAACAACAAGGTCCCACACTGTATAGCACAGGGAACTATATTCAGTATCCTATGATAAACCATAATGGAAAAAAGTATGAAAAAGAATATATGTTTAACTGAGTCACTTTGCTGTACAGCAGAAATTAAACACAACATTGTAAATCAACTATACTTCCGCCGGACAGGAATAAAGACACAGACATAGAGAATGGACTTGAGGACACGGGGAGGGGGAAGGGTAAGCTGTGACAAAGTGAGAGAGTGGCGTGGACATAAATACACTACCAACCGTAAGATAGATAGCTAGTGGGAAGCAGCCGCATAGCACAGGGAGATCAGCACAGATCGGTGCTCTGTGACCACCTAGAGGGGTGGGATAGGGAGGGTGGGAGGGAGGGAGACACAAAAGGGAGGAGATATGGGAACATATGTATATGTGTAACTGATTCACTTTGTTATACAGCAGAAACTAACACACCATTGTAAAGCAATTATACTCCAATAAAGATGTTAAAAAAAAAAACCAGTATACTTCAATAAGATTAAAAAAAAAAAAAAAGAAGAGCCTAACAATTTCAGGTAAATGCCAGGCACTTTACTTACATTATTTCATCTAATCCTCATGGTAACCACATGAGATTAGCATCATTAGGCCCATGTGACCTAACAGGAAACAGTTAAGGCAATTAAATAATTTTATCCATGAATAAACAAATATTTATTAAACAGCAACTTATGTCAAGTATGATGGCAGGTGCTGGGAATAAAGCAGGGAATAAAACAAGTCTCTGCCTCCCTGTCACAGAAGCAGAGTAGACCATAAAGAAATAGACCTGGTGCACCAGATGCTAAATATTACAGAGAAAAAGAAAGCAAGCTAAGGAGAACAGGACGTGCAGGAGGACTGCCCAAGCTCACACTGCTAGAAAATCTCAGTCATCCGGAGATAATGAGAATGAAGGCAGAGAAACAGAAAGGTCACTGGATCAGAAAAGGTGAAGGTCATGGCAGAAGAGGACACAGAAATGGAAGCTTCTCACTACCGAAGTTTAGCAATGAAAAGAGGAGACCCGGAACAGGAGCTAAGTGTCTCAAATTCCCTTCTTCTTAAGATCTTTAAAGGTAGT